ATTCTTTTACTCAATAACGAATTTAAACTCATAGGAATGCTTTAATAATATGCTGGGTATCTTACAGTCACGCCCACTCTCTTGTTTTATAATTTGTTTGCCTTGACTGTTTGCTAACTTGCGCATTTCGCATCAGTGTGTGATCCAGGTGCACTAGTTACACAAATGTATGCATGCATGTATTTCAAGTGATGATATGAGTCTTTGTATGGGCAACATGTATTTGCAACTGACAAACTCATCAAGGCGGCAACAACTATACAAAGTGGTAAGCAACACGAACCAGGGGAAATGTTCGAGCCTATGTGAAGGCCAAAGACTGCTACTGGCGAGCCCTGACCTTAGGTTCAGTTCTTTTTTATATTATTTATGAATGGTCGACAAAACGAGTGTCTTTCTCATTATTCAGTAGATTATATATGCATTATGATAACTAAATTCTAAAGGACTAGTTAGAGTAAGCCATTTTCAAATAGCATCAACGACCGATGGAGGTGTTTTATTTGCCAGTCCGGCCAGCTGAGCCCCATCTTACAGCTAATTTTTAAGTAGGGAGAAAAGTGTTCTTAAGTTAAATTTAAAAAAGTCTTAATTTACGTTGTTATTTAAGAAAATACAATGCATTGGAAAAAAGAGAGTAAGAAGATTGTTAATAAAGTAGAGAAATCTATGCTAGATATATAGAGTATTAAGTAGATAGGATAAAGAGATAGTATTGGGAAAACATCGAACTTGTGGGGGAAAATTTACAGCCTGTCCGGCAAGATGGCATTGCTCATTTTGGGGATGGGCTGTGACTTCCCAAAGGTATCCTAAAAGCAACGATCTTATTAGGGGTAGAGAAAGTTCGGTTGAGAAAACGTGATGCAAACTATTATAATTTGAACATAGCACGCGAAAAGGATTGTGCATGGCATAGTCTGTTGTGCACGTAGATAGGAGTACGGTGCGATAATTTCTGGTTGGTCTAGCCGGAACAGAGAATTGAAGATGCCCTTGCAGAAAAGGAGAGTTTACACCGCCAACAATCAACTTATGTAGGAACACAACACCGAAAATTGTCCTACGGTTGGTTACCGACGGCAGCTTAAGAAGAAAAAGCCTGCTGGAGTAGGATGGCAACCGAAGAAGCAGTAAACAGAAGTTTCGTTATGAAAGGATCGTTAAACCCTTTAGACCATCGTTTTATGAATCCTTTTGCCTCATTAACAATGGTATCTATGAGAAGAACGCCTAGCTCCTTAACTGTAAGTATATGTTGCAATGGAGTATTGTCGATTGATGGGGCTGCAGGTAAAACAGGATTTGGTGGGGCCAAAGAGGCACCATAATTGTTTTAATGATGAGCAAGTTACAGAAATTAGACACACATTCGCTTGCACCCGACTTAATACACACTTAATGTTAGCCACAAGTCTGCAAAAACTGTAATTTGTTCATTATTGTTATTCAGATGGATTTTCCTATTCATCAAATTTAATTTTCTTTTACTATTATTCACAGTTAAATAGAGCCAATCAATCAAGGTGGTGATAGCCAACCGGCTACAAAAATATTTGGTATCAATCAAAGTCATCAAATGTAATAAGAATCGCCAAGAGAGATCGATTAAGTTGCTTTCACTAGCTATAAGCACTAACCGTACAATGCACAGTATGGAGGGTATTATGTATTTGTGCACATGTATGTAACAGGCAGAAGATAGCATCTCCGACCCCATAAAGTATATATATTCGTGATCAGCATAAATAGCCGAGTCAATAGCCGAGTCGATCTAGCCATTTCCGTCTGTCTGTCCGCATGTAGGAACGCAATAATATCAAAGAAAATAAGAACTAGAAACTTGATTTTATTTAAACGGAGTAACTTATCGAGTATCGGAAACAAACTCGATCTGCGCAGACACTAGTAGGACCTGCAGCTAAGATTTCAAGTCTCTAGCTTTTAAGGGTTGTGATATTCTGTTTTATACATACGGACGGACTTAGAGACACGGACATGACAAGATCGACTCGGTTTGTGTTGCTGATTTAGAAAATATATTTTATGGGGTCGGAGATGCTTCCTTCTGCCTTTTTACCCATTTTCAATGAGTGTAAAATCAAATAATCTAGGGTATCTCATATATGTATGCATGCTTGTCAGCTGCCTTTTGCGTTTCCCAAAGTTTGTGCCAAAAATCAATAAACTAATGCCGAATTGAAAGCAACTGACAGCCAAAGAGGAAATGCAGCTGCTAAAGCTGAAACCATGGCCTATTCACAGACCATGCCTAATGATGGCGAGCTGATAATGCTGTTCATGTTACATGCGGTTCGCTGCATCGTTTCGTTTGCATTGGCTGGTTCCTAGTAATACGTTCACATCAGTATATATGCAGGTGCTCGTGTCGTTTGAAATGGTAAACTCTCGGTGGGATGCGTCGCTTACAATTGAAAATTAGCATTTTATTCACTGAATAAAAATTCAATAGAAGGCGAAGTTTAGGCTCGGTCAAAGTGTAATTTGGGCCGTGAAGCTTTTTTAAAATTTCCACGGAGCAACTTAGTTTAAAAAATACTGGATAATATTTAGATAATTAAATGAAATATATCTATCCATATAAAGCATAAAAGTCGATGTCGATAACATATAGATATGATACAGATATAAATGTACTACCGTGTAATAGTAGAGATTTTTGTGTTAAAAATTTTAAGATATAATTTTTTTTGCCCAATTACCGCCTGGGAAAATTTAGGATGTATTAACTTGAACTCCACTTTTATTTAAAAATTTGTTTAAACTCGACATTTGGAACTTCCAAAATCTTATTAAGGCTTAATAAATAGTGAAACTTATCTAGAAAAATAACAATATGATAAATAATCAACTCCTACCCCTAAAATACATATACTCTTGCTTAGCATCAAAAGCCAAATAGATTTAGAACTGTCCGTCCACGTCACGTAATTCCAAAATAAATTAGCCTGCACATGGTGCATTCAGCCTTATACAAATTAAACGCGCAGTTGACAATCTGACAGCCTAGTTGGATAAAAGTCATTGCAGCTATAAACCTAGCAGACAGTTAATATGCTGCATTTTGGATGCTGGCCACCAAAATACGAACACTGAATTTATGCGCCTATTCTATGTAGGTTTAAAATGAATTTTTTTTTTGGGGGGGGGTTTTACTTATTTACAATTTCTGCTGCTGTTTTACATCCTGGCATGTGCTGACAATTTTGGCCCCAACTAAGCAAAATTTACATAAGCATACATGTGAATATATATATGTGTATGTATGAAGGCCACCGTGCAGCATTTGTCTAATTGAGTTTCGTCGCCTGTTGGTAGTGCATATCCACAAATATAGAACAATCTATATTCGCGGTTGGGACTGGGACAGCCTTTGATGGACCTTGCCTGGTTATGGCTCTGGCCATTTGTCTGACATTCACAAAATTCAAGCGGTTCACTTATTACTGACAATTGAGATACATACGTTTATGTTGGAATTAAGATTTATATAATAGCAGTTCAGTATGTTGTTGTATATTGTTAGTAGTAAAACCAAACTATGGTGCCTATAATTTGAAGCTACCGTCATGATTTTCTTACCCTAAACGCATTAAGAATCGGTGAATGTAACAAGCAGAAGGAAGCATCTCCGATCCGTAAAGTACATATATGTACTCTTGATAAGGGCGGCAACCTTAGCAAAACCTAACCAAAGGATTACGAACAAACTGTTATAGTTTACTAAGCAAACCTTGTCAATATTAGTTAAGTTAGTAAAGTGGGATAGGGTGGGAAGTGGATGGGAGTCAAAACAAAGCTTAGCAGGCGCTTAAGTTTTTGCAGTGGAATTATTACTGCTACCACTCTAGATTTCTTCAGTTCTTAGCAGGCCCAAGATTAGCATATCTACTGAAACAATATTTCATTTCGTCATAAAAGTTTATTGACTTTTCTATCCTCTCTGAGGTGTGGTGACCATGCTTCCGACAGGGGGTCGGTGCACTTGATTTTCTTCGTTAACCTCTTCATCGATTTGCATCATTCCTGCTGCATTTGACATAAATCTAAATACGCATCCGACTGGAACAGCGCTGATGCAATAGAGGCGTGAACTGCACGGCTGTAGGTCAGAACAGCTATCGCTCTCGACCAGACAATGTTAAGTGTGTTAAGTAACATGACTTTACTCTAAATACATCTTTGATTCGGTGGTTGTGTTTCGCTGCCTTTTCAACTTTTTTCCGTATTGGCTGCACTGTGGATAGGATCTGTCAAACTACTCATCCCATGCGAATGTTAGCTAGCTAATCCAGTTGCTTCAAAGAATTCTTTTTGTGCACCCGTCAGAACAGGCGTTGATTATCTCTATACCCACATTTGGGTAAATTAACAATTACCAAACATAAGTCCTTACAAAATACATGAATGTCTCATATAGTTTGTAGTCCCTTTAAGTACCAGTAACCCAATACTCAAGGCTGCCGCTCCAGGGTTTGCCAGTGCTCAAAATTTGCAAATATGTCAGACTGGACACAGAAGCAATTTATCAACATGGAACAAGAACTGAACCAACTGGTCAGTTGAAAGCAAGCCCCTAAGGCTGTAAATGCATTTTTTGTTTGATGCTTGGATTAGCATAAAACATGCATATAAGTACACATGATGCATGTATATAAGAATAGTTATATATGCACATATGTGAATCTGCGCAATACATAAATATGTCAAGTAAGCCGTACGTTCCTGACTAGGGGATACCCTCAACTTTCTTCTACCAACACCTAAAGCAGTAATTTAAAAGGGTTAATAACATAAGTTCCCCTCAAAAGGACTCAAACCCGCGACAGACCGCACCGTCTCCACTCGACAGCCATTACAAGTAGGGGCTTGGAGCTCATTTGATTAGCAGAAGAGCCATCTGCAGTTAGCCAAAGATTGAATACCGAAACAGATTGATTTTTGTTCGTAATAAACATTTATTATTTGGATTGTTTTAGTTTTTTTATTAGGAAATTTTTATATCTGATAGAAATATTGATTAAAATAGTTTTATACTGTTCCTATATGCCCTTTGGACACATTAATTAATATATATTATTTTAAGATTTTAAATAAATTTTAATTGAAATGCATAAGTGCTCATTTTGTAGGAAATAGTAAACTTTTTTTTACATTTGATTAGCTACAAATTGCTTTTACAAATCTTCCAATATAATAAATTCTAATTTTTTGCCTATACGTTGTTAACTATTACATGATATTCTCCAAATTATTGCTTAATTTTCGACTAACTTTAATCTTCGATTATTTTAAGTTAGAATTTCTTATACAAATATAGTGAAAACTTTTCAGATAATAATCTGCTTAATTTGAATTATATTTCACATCACCCTAAAATTACTTTTTAGATATGGGTATTTGTAAGTAGTAAGTTAATTTTTTTCTATAAAGCGCTTAGCAAGAAACAAAATGGATATATGCTAGTTTCGAAAACAAACAAATTGAACAGCGCTAGTAATTTCTTATACTAAAAAATATAACAAATCAAAGTACAAAGACACAAACCCCAAAGAATACTCCCCGCGACTTTAGTGATTGAGTAGTATTACAAATTCAAATGTTAACATTTGGAAAATATCATTAATGCAGGGCTTGTCAGTTACAGTACAGCTAAAATGAAAATGAACCCGCTGAGTTTAATATTCTTGATCAGAACGAGCTGAATCGAGCTATTCTTGTCCGCCTGTCCGTCCGTCTATATGAACGTTTCGATATACTTACTACGAAAATACAAAGCTAAACACATGAAATTTGAATTGAATGTTCTCGTATACCACACGCACGACTAGATTGTTTTTTTTCCCCGATATCTTATCCCATTCCGAATATATTGAACATAACTTTAAAATTATATGCTCTAATTATACCAAACTTGTTGTATAGCTTCTTCTATATTTGATCAAAACCTGTCAAAATAAAAGTCCGCCAGTCTGTGTGTCCATCAATATGTATAAACACGTCGATCTCAGAGATTTAACATCTAGACCCTAAAAATATTGAACATATATTAAATTTGTTTCAAATAAACGACAACTTGTCCCATTGGTTATGAAATCGATAAGAGTCGATATCAAAATTCAGCTTTTAGGCACATATTTGAGCTGGAAAGACCAAATTTCGAATATATATACTCTATTATTTTATTCTTGTGGTATACACAGATCTAGAATATTCTCCTTTTTGGATACTTATATATTCATTATTTACACACAGTTAAATACCATTCCTTATATCACTGAATAATAATAAAGATCGGACAATAAACACCGAGAAACCATTGACTTCTTTTCTATATATTTTCTGCTCATGCAAGAAGTATGTTAGCCTTTTTTTAGCCCGTGCTGTCATAAACTGACAAACTCTGCAGTAAAGAAAGTTACGTTGTTTTGCAACTCGCAATCAACTGAGCAGCAAACTATATCTACATTATTTTAGTTATAATATACCAGCAATTTAAACATGCTATACATTTTCTATATTTTTGTTTATACTAATTATTCATTTCATACTTTAGCTCTTTTTTTGCAGTAGGTTATTCCTATGCACATTTATTAATCATACCTAATACGTTTTTAGACACATTTATCTTATTACTGTTTTTCGTAATTTGGCATGTTTTTTATTGAATTTTGTAATTTCTATATGTGAGTCAATTCATATAATTTCAGAATTTTCACATTAAGCTATTTCTAATCGGATAATTCGACTTATTTGGAGACTTAGCTATAAATTAAAATCAAAGGGCAGAGCAGCTATAACATTATACTCTCTAAAAATTGACCTTAAATTTAAAGAATTCCATTAATATAAAAAAAATTTTTCTTTGGAAAAATTAAGTTCGCACAAGAACATATTCATAAAATTGTTTCCAATTAATTAATTGAAAATTCGCAACAGAATGCTTAAAGTAGCCTTTAATACTTTTTCTTCTTTGATAAACGTTTTTTTCGTAGGTCCCATTTACAGAATTTCTGTTTGAAAATATTAACAACAAAACATGGTTTTCAATAAGTATCCAATGGCGTCAATTAAAAAAAAAATGAATATGGGTAAAAATTTTTAATATCTATGAAATAATCATAACATTGCTCTTGAAGCTTTTATGATATCCTCTAAAATAACCATATAAAGATTGGAATGACCAGCAAAACTATGGTGTATTTCACATGGTCACTGGAGTTACAACCATCCTCCGTGCAGCAGTAGGTCTGGGTTTCCCAAATTTCTGAAAGAAAAATACAGATGTGAATATTCGTAAGGCTATAAGAATAACAATTTATTAAAGAAAGAACCACTATCTTCGGCCCACCGAAGATTAAATAACTTGGTATATGTTAATAATGCTAATTTGATTCGAACCTCGAGCCCAGATCTTCTTTTTGATGCAAATAACCGAACCCCTTTCACAAATAACAAACAATCCCGAAGTTAATCGGTTGCCTAGAAACGACGCAAATCATCAAATATTGGATTACGTGAGAGACATAGAAGCACTAACCACAGAACATACAGATGGGACAGTTAGTAGAAGAGCCTGTGACCATGAATCTATTTGATTTCTGGTCCAAACTCGACTTCGCTTTTGTTCCAGAGAGTAAGAAATACATATGTATGATTTGTGTGGTAGAACGGCATCGCTGTTTTATATTTCGCTCCCACTCCATCCATTGAGTAATAAAGAGAAAGCGCAGGCGTTTGGATCAAAAGATCTTTTTCGAAATATGTCCTTCATGAGCCAAAACGAGGTTGCAAACGTAACACCCGGCCGTCTGCAGCTACTTCTGCCTGTGCCCAAAATTCAATCACAACTTATGTCGTTTTGGAACGTCATATCTCCCCGCGGAGCTATTATCCATCATACCGCGCGGAGTTATGTCGTTTTGGAACGTCATATCTCCCCGCGGAGCTAGTACCCATCATACCGCGTGGAGTTATGTCGTTTTGGAACGTCATATCTTCCCTCGGAGCTATTATCCATCATACCGCGCGGAGTTATGTCGTTTTGGAACGTCATATCTCCCCGCGGAGCTATTTCCATCCGAGCGGAGGGAGTTATGTCGTTTTGGAACGTCATATCTCCCCGCGGAGCTATTACCCATCATACCGCGCGGAGCTATGTCGTTTTGGAACGTCGTATCTCCCCGCGGAGCTATTACCCATCATACCACGCGGAGTTATATCGTTTTGGAATGTCATATCTCCCCGCGGAGCTATTATCCATCATACCGCGCGGAGCTATGTCGTTTTGGAACGTCATATCTCCCCGCGGAGCTATTTCCATCCGAGCGGAGGGAGTTATGTCGTTTTGGAACCTCATATCTTCGCGCGGAGTTATGTCGTTTTGGAACGTCATATCTCCCCCCGGAGCTATTACCCATCATACCGCGCGGAGTTATGTCGTTTTGGAACGCCATATCTCCCCGCGGAGCTATTACCCATCATACCGTGCGGAGTTATGTCGTTTTGGAACGTCATATCTCCCCGCGGAGCTATTTCCATCCGAGCGGAGGGAGTTATGTCGTTTTAGAACGTCATATCTCCCCGCGGAGCTATTACCCATCATACCGCGCGGAGTTATGTCGTTTTGGAACGTCATATCTCCCCGCGGAGCTATTACCCATTATATCGTGCGGAGTTATGTCGTTTTGGAACGTCATATCTCCCCGCGTAGCTATTTCCATCCGAGCGGAAGTAGTTATGTCGTTTTGGAACGTCATATCTCCCCGCGGAGCTATTTCCATCCGAGCGGAAGGAGTTATGTCGTTTTGGAACGTCATATCTCCCCGCGGAGCTATTACCTATCATACCGCGTGGAGCTATGTCGTTTTGGAACGTCATATCTCCCCGCGGAGCTATTTCCATCCGAGCGGAAGTAGTTATGTCGTTTTGGAACGTCATATCTCCCCGCGGAGCTATTTCCATCCGAGCGGAAGGAGTTATGTCGTTTTGGAACGTCATATCTCCCCGCGGAGCTATTACCCATCATACCGCGCGGAGTTATGTCGTTTTGGAAAGTCATATCTCCCCGCGGAGCTGTTATCCATCATACCGCGAGGAGATATGTCGTTTTGGAACGTCATATCTCCCCGCGGAGCTATTTCCATCCGAGCGGAGGGAGTTATGTTGTTTTGGAACGTCATATCTCCCCGCGGAGCTATTACCCATCATACCGCGCGGAGTTATGTCGTTTTGGAACGTCATATCTCCCCGCGGAGCTATTTCCATCCGAGCGGAAGTAGTTATGTCATTTTGGAACGTCATATCTCCCCGCGGAGCTATTTCCATCCGAGCGGAAGGAGTTATGTCGTTTTGGAACGTCATATCTCCCCGCGGAGCTATTACCTATCATACCGCGTGGAGCTATGTCGTTTTGGAACGTCATATCTCCCCGCGGAGCTATTTCCATCCGAGCGGAGGGAGTTATGTCGTTTTGGAACGTCATATCTTCGCGCGGAGTTATGTCGTTTTGGAACGTCATATCTCCCCGCGGAGCTATTTCCATCCGAGCGGAGGGAGTTATGTCGTCTTGGAACGTCATATTTTCGCGCGGAGTTATGTCGTTTTGGAACGTCATATCTCCCCGCGGAGCTATTACCTATCATACCGCGTGGAGCTATGTCGTTTTGGAACGTCATATCTCCCCGCGGAGCTATTTCCATCCGAGCGGAGGGAGTTATGTCGTTTTGGAACGTTATATCTTCGCGCGGAGTTATGTCGTTTTGGAACGTCATATCTCCCCGCGGAGCTATTTCCATCCGAGCGGAGGGAGTTATGTCGTTTTGGAACCTCATATCTTCGCGCGGAGTTATGTCGTTTTGGAACGTCATATCTCCCCGCGGAGCTATTTCCATCCGAGCGGACGGAGTTATGTCGTTTTGGAACGTCATATCTTCGCGCGGAGTTATGTCGTTTTGGAACGTCATATCTCCCCGCGGAGCTATTACCCATCATACCGCGCGGAGTTATGTCGTTTTGGAACGTCATATCTCCCCGCGGAGCTATTACCCATCATACCGCCTGGAGTTATGTCGTTTTGGAACGTCATATCTCCCCGCGGAGCTATTACCTATCATACCGCGTGGAGCTATGTCGTTTTGGAACGTCATATCTCCCCGCGGAGCTATTTCCATCCGAGCGGAGGGAGTTATGTCGTTTTGGAACCTCATATCTTCGCGCGGAGTTATGTCGTTTTGGAACGTCATATCTCCCCGCGGAGCTATTACCCATCATACCGCGCGGAGTTATGTCGTTTTGGAACGCCATATCTCCCCGCGGAGCTATTACCCATCATACCGTGCGGAGTTATGTCGTTTTGGAACGTCATATCTCCCCGCGGAGCTATTTCCATCCGAGCGGAGGGAGTTATGTCGTTTTAGAACGTCATATCTCCCCGCGGAGCTATTACCCATCATACCGCGCGGAGTTATGTCGTTTTGGAACGTCATATCTCCCCGCGGAGCTATTACCCATTATATCGTGCGGAGTTATGTCGTTTTGGAACGTCATATCTCCCCGCGTAGCTATTTCCATCCGAGCGGAAGTAGTTATGTCGTTTTGGAACGTCATATCTCCCCGCGGAGCTATTTCCATCCGAGCGGAAGGAGTTATGTCGTTTTGGAACGTCATATCTCCCCGCGGAGCTATTACCTATCATACCGCGTGGAGCTATGTCGTTTTGGAACGTCATATCTCCCCGCGGAGCTATTTCCATCCGAGCGGAAGTAGTTATGTCGTTTTGGAACGTCATATCTCCCCGCGGAGCTATTTCCATCCGAGCGGAAGGAGTTATGTCGTTTTGGAACGTCATATCTCCCCGCGGAGCTATTACCCATCATACCGCGCGGAGTTATGTCGTTTTGGAAAGTCATATCTCCCCGCGGAGCTGTTATCCATCATACCGCGAGGAGATATGTCGTTTTGGAACGTCATATCTCCCCGCGGAGCTATTTCCATCCGAGCGGAGGGAGTTATGTTGTTTTGGAACGTCATATCTCCCCGCGGAGCTATTACCCATCATACCGCGCGGAGTTATGTCGTTTTGGAACGTCATATCTCCCCGCGGAGCTATTTCCATCCGAGCGGAAGTAGTTATGTCATTTTGGAACGTCATATCTCCCCGCGGAGCTATTTCCATCCGAGCGGAAGGAGTTATGTCGTTTTGGAACGTCATATCTCCCCGCGGAGCTATTACCTATCATACCGCGTGGAGCTATGTCGTTTTGGAACGTCATATCTCCCCGCGGAGCTATTTCCATCCGAGCGGAGGGAGTTATGTCGTTTTGGAACGTCATATCTTCGCGCGGAGTTATGTCGTTTTGGAACGTCATATCTCCCGGCGGAGCTATTTCCATCCGAGCGGAGGGAGTTATGTCGTCTTGGAACGTCATATTTTCGCGCGGAGTTATGTCGTTTTGGAACGTCATATCTCCCCGCGGAGCTATTACCTATCATACCGCGTGGAGCTATGTCGTTTTGGAACGTCATATCTCCCCGCGGAGCTATTTCCATCCGAGCGGAGGGAGTTATGTCGTTTTGGAACGTTATATCTTCGCGCGGAGTTATGTCGTTTTGGAACGTCATATCTCCCCGCTGAGCTATTTCCATCCGAGCGGAGGGAGTTATGTCGTTTTGGAACCTCATATCTTCGCGCGGAGTTATGTCGTTTTGGAACGTCATATCTCCCCGCGGAGCTATTTCCATCCGAGCGGACGGAGTTATGTCGTTTTGGAACGTCATATCTCCCCGCGGAGCTATTACCCATCATACCGCCTGGAGTTATGTCGTTTTGGAACGTCATATCTCCCCGCGGAGCTATTACCTATCATACCGCGTGGAGCTATGTCGTTTTGGAACGTCATATCTCCCCGCGGAGCTATTTCTATCCGAGCGGAGGGAGTTATGTCGTTTTGGAACGTCATATCTTCGCGCGGAGTTATGTTGTTTTGGAACGTCATATCTCCCCGCGGAGCTATTTCCATCCGAGCGGAGGGAGTTATGTCGTTTTGGAACGTCATATCTCCCCGCGGAGCTATTTCCATCCGAGCGGAAGGAGTTATGTCGTTTTGGAACGTCATATCTCCCCGCGGAGCTATTACCCATCATACCGCCTGGAGTTATGTCGTTTTGGAACGTCATATCTCCCCGCGGAGCTATTACCCATCATACCGTGCGGAGTTATGTCGTTTTGGAACGTCATATCTCCCCGCGGAGCTATTTCCATCCGAG